GTTACACATGGGTACAGAACTAAATAGACAATTCTCAATAGAGGAATCTAAAATGGCTGAAAGACACATAAGAAAGCGTTCAACATCCTTAGGCATCAGGGAAATGCAAATCAAAACAACTCTGAGATACCATCTTACTCCTGTCAGAATGGCTAAAATGAAAACACCAATGACAGTTTATGTTGGAGAGGATATGGAGAAAGGGGAACACTTCTCCACTGCTGGTGGGAGTACCAACTTGTACAGCCACTTTGGAAATCAGTATGGCGACTCCTCAAGAAAATGGGAATGAGTCTACCACAAGATCCAGCAATTCCACTCCTAGGCATATACCCAAAAGAAGCACATTCATACAACAAGGACATCTGTTCAACGATGTTCATAGCAGCACTATTTGTAATAACCAGAAACTGGAAGCAGCCTAGATGCCCCTCAACTGAAGAATGGATAGAGAAAATGCACAAAAAGACAAACATGGTATGTACTCACTCATATGTGGATTTTAGACATAGAGTAAGGGATCGCCAGCCTACAATCCACACTGCCAGAGAAGCTAGTAAACAAGGAGGACCCTAAGAGAGACATACATGGTCCCCTGGAGAAGGGGAAAGGGTCAAAATCCCCTAAGCAAATTGAGAGCATGGGAAGAGGGGGGGGGAGCTACGAGAATGAGAAGGGAAGAAGAGGAAGGATGCAGAGGACATGAGGGAGCAGAAAGGTTGAGTCAGGGGAAGAATAGAAGAAAGGATATGTGATTGGTAGGGTTTGAGTTGGGGGGTGGTGGGGAGGAAGGGAGGGAGAAGGGAACTGGGATTGTCATGTAATTCAATATTGCTTGTAATTCAAATAAAAAAATGATTAAAAAATAAAAAAGATTGTTACACGCGCACACAGACACACACACACACACACACACACACACACGCACACGCGCACACACACACGCACACGCACACACGCATGCACAGTGAGTTCCAGGACAGCCAGGGCTACATAGAGAAACCCTGTCTCAAAACAAAACAAAAAACGGTAACTATTTTAGAAGATAAAATGAGGGACCAGTGGGAGGCGGGATTTAGGAGAGAGTAACAAGTATGAGATATATGCATCATCAAAGTATGATATATATGAGGTCATAATGAAGCTCATTGTCTTCTACTATATATACATTCTGATACAAAATCAATAACATTGCTTTATTATCAAAATACTGTTTTAAGCCAATAAAAGTAAAAAAAAATTCAAAGACAAAGAAAAACCTAAAATAAGCATTTAACAGAACAGAAGATCATTTAACTCAATCACAGTAATAAATATGGAAGCACTAGGAAACTCAATTAAGGACATTTACAGGAAATAGGATAAGACTGGCTTTTGGCAGGAGTGATGACATTTGGATTCATGGGTTCAGTAAAACTGCAGCGGAAGAATTGTGAGTTCAAGCTCAGCCTGGGCAACATAGCAAGACCTCATCTCTCTCTCTCTCTCTCTCTCTCTCTCTATATATATATATATATACACATCAAAACCTGTCCCTGTCAGGATGTAGTGTAATATTTGTGTTTTCTTGGGGATAAACCTTAAAAGTCTTACATGTTTATATAGAGAGACTTTATAGAATACTTTTATCAGTTTGAATTTAACCTAAGCTAACTTCACTACTTTAATTCAGTGGCTATACAAAACAACCCAGACAAGGTCTATGCATGCAAAAATGTATCCTAAATAAGATCCAAGACACAAAAACATATATACATAAAAGGCAAACTCTTTTAAATAACTAAGCACAAAAATTTACACAGATACTGTGTGTGGGACAGTTTTATGTCAACTTTACACAAGCTAGACTTATCTGAAAGGAGGGAACCTCGATTGAGAAAATACTTTTTCTTAATTAGTGATTGATGAGGGAAGCCTCAACCCACTGTGGGTGGTGCCATCCCTGGGCAGGTGGTCCTGGGTTCTGAAAGAAAACAGGCTGAGAAAGCCATGGAGAGCAAGTCAGTAAGCAGTACCCTTCCATGGCCTCTGCATCAGCTCCTGCCTCCAGGTTCCTGCCCTGTTTGAGTTCCTGTCCTGACCTCCTTTGGTGATGAACAGAGATATGAAAGGTCAATCCCAATAAACAACTTGCTTTTGGTCATGGTGTTTCATCTCAGCAACAGAAACCCTAACTAGGACATAATGTTAATCTAAAACCATAGAAATATTAAAACACAAAAGAACTTGAAACTCTGTAATCCACTTATGTTTTACAGAGGAGAAAATATAGTTTAGAGAAATTAAGTATGTTCTCATTAACTAAAGTAAACAGAAAAAGTAAGTGAAACAACAGCACACTAAAATTCAATTCTGTTGGATATGCTTATTGAATTAGATGTTTTAAAATCTCTTTACTAGTTAGCTGAATTTTTATTATATCAAATGCTGACCTCTACCGGAAAAATGATAGATCTTCTGTATTACTATACATATTTGGAATCAATAATAATAATATATATTTTAATGCTCTATAACTTAGAAATATTATAGATAACATAATAACAATATAAGATACAATATCCTCCTCCTTCACCAGCTTCCAAATTAGAGTTAATTGGTTCGGTTTGACTGTGTGCTACCGTTATATGGATTATGAAGTACTTTTAAGTCCTCTGCTGAAGAGCTTATAAAATAGTAATTGTGGTAATTTGGGCATTTGAACACTTGGTCCCAGTTGGTGGTTGTTTGGGAAGGATTAGGTGGTGTGGTCTTCCAGAAGGAAGCATGACATTGGGGGGAAGCTCTGAGGTTTCAAAAGATTCACACCATTGTGTGTACACTCTGTGCTTCCTGTTTGTGGTTTAAGATGTGAGCTCTTGGATGCTGCTCTCACTGCCTGCTACCTCCACCCTGCCATCAAGAACTATAACCTCTGGAATCTTAAGCCCTAAAAAGATACTTACTTCGATAAGTTGTGTTGGTCATGGTATTTTATCACAGCAAGAGAAAACATAAGACACTGATGTTCAGACATTAAAATACACTGGGTGGCAACTATTTGCCTATTACTAAGCTAGGTCCCATGGATACAAAGATAAATACAAATACTCCTAGCCATCAAAGGAATTTTACACAGCTATTAAAGTTTAGTTCTGAATTTCCTGATGTAACATGAAATATAAAAGACCCAGAGACTGATATTGGGGTTCAACCTGAACATCAGGGAAGCAAAGCAGCCAAGCTACCAGAGAGCTCTCACCTCTAAAAGGACTGGGATATTCCTATTCTCAATGTGGCTGGAGAATGAATGCCTAATCCTGTCTTAGGTACCTCCCTAATGCTGGGATTAAAGGCATGTGATCCCAGGTGCTGAGATCATCTTTGTGTGAGCTGTTTCTCTTTAGGACTGGATCAATCCTGCGTAGAATTGGGTGGCCTTGAACCCACAGAAATCCGTCTACCTCTTAATCCTGAGTCCTAGGATTAAAGGTGTGTACCACTACCTCCTAGTTTCTGGCAGCTGGAATTAAAGGTGTGTGCCTGGCTTCTATGGCTTGTGCCTGACTTTGCTTTCTGAATCCTCAGGCAAGCTTTAATAAATCATAAATAATATATCACCACATCCTGACCCCCTACTCCTTAAAAGAGTTTTATTGCTAGTAATTTCAAAGATGTACCAATGTTAAAAGACAAGTTATGTTTAGTTCCCATATGCCTACCACCCAGCTTCACTATCTCATCCACCTTATCCTACTGTAAATTTGCAACTTCTCCTCCCATATTATTTTGAAGAAATTTCCAGATAGCACATCATCATATGCATACATATTTCAAGGATGTATCTCCTGGAGACAGATAGTGTTTCTTCAAACAATATAACCACATTACCACTATTGTGCTACCTAGAAGTTAATGTCAAAATGTAGTCATTATGCAAATTCTAAGTGCCCCATATTCTTTAGATTGAGTTCTCTTCCATTTGATTGATAAAGGCTGTTAAGAAAAGGTAAATTTTACAATGTATACCTGGGCAAATTGTGTGTTATGACAAAACAAGTTACAATTCCAAGTTATCTCAGTGATCGATCTTTCTCCCAAAATTTAGTTGAAATACTATTGTGCCATCAGTTGTAAAAATAGATGCAGAACATGCAGTAGATACAGTCTATTACAGAGCTCCTGCCTAAACACAGAATAAAGAGATGCTGCTATTTTCTGAAAGGTATATTTAATCAAGAACTTGAACCAAGTTTTCTCTCAACTCATCAGGAGGTAGTGAATTTTATGAATAAAAGATTGATGAAAAATCCTTCCATGAATTGTTAAGCTCTTGATATCTTTTACTTATTTTTATTTCATGTGCATTTGTGTTTTATCTGCATGTATGTCTGTGAAAGTGTTGGATCCCCTGAAACTGGAGTTAAAGACAGTTATGAGCTGCTGAGTGTATGCTGCTCGGAACTGAGCCCAGGAACTCTGGAAGAGCAGACAGTGCTCTTAACCACTGAGCCACCTCTCCAGCCCCAGTTCTTGATATCTTATACCATGGAAACTGTGAAGAGAAATGTGTTTCTATAATGCAAACTGAGATAATAAAGAACCAGAATCTTTGTAAATTTCCATTGAGTCTACTGTTGAAATAACATAATCAGGCAATATACAAAATGTAAGCAATTAGAAACTTCCAAGTACTCTCATATATTTACTATTTCCCAGTGGATTGTATATTTTATCTTTTAAATGTATTGATTCGCTGAGTAATTACAGAAACTCCATGAGGCATACATTGGTATTTCCATTTTACAAATGGAAAAACTAAAGGAAAGAAATGATAAGAAAAGAAGCTTATCTAAGCTATATATCTCATAAATAACCACATAGAATATGAATCCAGGAATTGGCTAAAATATATATTAATTTCATCCACTACAAAAATCATCTTTAAATATAAGGCTTTCATTTAAAGCTACTGTAAATTTTCCCAAGGTAAATACATCATTTCTCATGAAATAACTTACTTATTTTCAGATTCTGGCATTTGAGAAACTTGTGGAAGAATAATTCGAACCAGACACCTGTGTAAAAAAAGACAATACAGAAGATTATTCTTAGGTGTGAGAGATGCAGCTTAGTGGTAGAGTGCTTGCCTAACATGTTTGAGGCTGTGCTAGTTTCCCTCCACCCCAATTTGACACACGCTAAGATAATCTGGAAGCTGGAACCTTAACTGAAAAAATGCTTCCATCAGATTGGCATATAGGTATTTTCTTATTTTGTGATTGAAGTGAGAGTGCCTAACACACTGTGGGTGGTGCCATCCCTGGGCAGGTGTTACTGGAGTATATAAGAAGAAGGCAGGAAGAGCAAGCCATGATGAGAAAGCCAGTATGCAGCAATCCTCCAAGACCTCTATGTCAGTTCCTGCTTCCCAGTTCCTGCCTTCAGATTTCTTCAGTGATGGACTGTGATCAGGATGTATAAGCCAAACAAACCCTTTCCTCCTCAAGTTGCTTTTGATCATGGTGTTTTATCACTGCATAGAAGTAAACTAGGATAGAGGCCCTGGGTTCTATTCCTAGCACTAGACACAAGGAATAGTGAGGGAGGGAGAAAACGAGAGATAAAGCAAGAGCAAGCAAGTGAGAGAAATTCTTAGAAAAAGATATGTCAAAGTTATTATACCAATTTATTACCTTTGATTATCCCAGAATGCAGAAGATCTTTGTATTGTTTGAAAGGTTGCAATAAAACATAAATTTTGTGATTTTTAAGTGAAATTGAATAAAATAATTTTTAAAATTACTTATCATAATTTATTAAACAGTTATAATAAGCTATTAAACAGTGCCAAGTTAATATCAGTACAGAAACATCAAGTATGGTATATAACTATTTTTTTCTGTACAAAATCTAATTGGTTTTGGGGTCTCACAGAAGAAAGAAGCACTAATCTTTGAAGGGATCTGGAAGTATTACTACAAAATGACATGATGAAGTAGTTGATAACTTCAAACCTGAAAATACCTTTTAATGAAAATCTATCTGAGCCTGGTACACTGGAACACCTCAGCACTTGGGAGGTTGAGGCAGGAGAGTTTTGAGGTTAAGGTTAGTCTGAGATACATAATAAGATCCTGCTTATAAAATAAAGTAAAACTTAATAAAATAAAATAAAATGATGGGGCCAGAGGGCTGGATATGGTGGTGAATGACTATAATCGTAGCACTCAGAAGAGACAGAAGCAGCAGGTTCAAGACCAGTTCCAGGCTACCCAGAGCTACAGAGTGAGACTGTGTCTCAAAATGGGGTGTTGTTGCTAGCCTAGCATGGAGGAAGCCCTAGATTCTGTTCCTAACACTGAAAAAATAATTTAAGAAAAATAAATCCTGAGTGATTTTAGATATTTATCTGACTAAATGTATGCTGGTATCTCAACTTCTGACAGAAATAATTCTGTCACTCTATTTCCCATTAGAAGTAAGCCTGAAGTAGAGTTGACCAGCAGTAGAACAAATACAGTACCCTTCGGGTTTCTTTTTTCACAATCACCACTATAGTGTTATGTTCAAATTTGACTCTCAGTATTGCATGTGAAAGATCCCTTTTCACAAATAATTTTCTTCTCTAAAAGGAAAACTTCGAGGTTTTTTAAATTGTGCATCTTTGTTACTGGTTGTTGCTTGAAGGCTTTGATATCATCAGCAATCGCTTGGCAAAGTTTATAAATTAAGAAGAAGAAGAGCAGCTTACTTTAAAGCTCCAAGTACTTCTTTTGGGTCTTCTGAAAGCTGAGATAAATATTCCAAAGCTTTGCCTGCCACAAATTGTTGTCCATTCTAAAAGGAACAAGCATAGTATGTAAAATGACATCTAGAAGGAAGTGATGCTTGCAGCAGGTTGTCTATAGCCCTGCCTATTAGAAAGAAATATACATATTTTTCCTCAAATGGATTGCCTAACAATGTAGAATGAAGATATAATTAATTGACAAAAAGAAAACAGGTTCAGGAGTCCCCTGACCTGTGGAGGCTGCCAGAGCCTTCCTGCCATCAAATCCTGCAGAAGGTCCAAAGCAACCACCATCAGCTGGCATTACTGCCTTCACTCTCTGGTAGAGTGAGTGAGCTAGCAAGAGGAGAGGATAGGTCCTTGAACTCATACCCAGAAGAAGAGGGAGAGACCCCACTTATACACTCTGGAAGAAGAGATGGGAATACGACAGTAGAACACAACCAACAACAGAAAGACGTATATGACAACACCAGTGCCTAGGGACTCTACAACACCAAAACCTGAACATCCCAACACAGATGAAACAGAAGAGAATGACCTTAAAAGCATCTTCATAAAATGATAGAGGGACTCAAAGAGGATATGAGAAAGTCCCTTAAAGAAATGGAAGAAAAAACAAACCAAAAAATGCAAGAAATCAACAAATCTCTTAAAGAAAGTGAAGAAAATACAATCAAACAGATGGAGGAAACAGTTCAAGACCTGAAAACTGAAATAAAGAAAACACAAACTGAGGGAATGCTGGAAATAGAAAAGCTGGGTAAACGATCAGGAACTACAGATGCAAACATAACCAACAGAATACAAGAGATGGAAGAGAGAATCTCTGGCGCTGAAGATAAACTAGAGCAAATAGATTCATCAACCAAAGAAAATCTTAAATCCAACATATCCTTAACACAAAATATCCAGGAAATATGGGGCACTGTGAAAAGACCAAACCTAAGAATAATAGGTATAGAAGAAGGCAAAGAAGCTCAGCTCAAAGGTACAGAAAACATACCCAACAAAATCATAAAAGAAAACTTTCCCAACCTGAAGAAGGACATGCCTATGAAAGCGCAAGCAGCTTAGACTGGAACAAAAAAAAATGTTCCCTCACCACATAATAATGAAAACACCAAACATACAGAATAAAGAAAGAATACTAAGAGTAGGGAAGGAAAAATGCCAAGTAACATATAAAGGCAGACCTATCAGAATTATATCCGACTTCTTGATAGAAACCCTGAAAGCCAGAAGGTCCTGATAGATGTTCTACAAACACTAAGAGACCACGGATGCCAGTGCAGACTATTATAACCAGCAAAACTCTCAATAACAATAGATGGAGAACACAAGATACTTCATGACAAAACCAGATTTACACAATACATAGACATATATCCAGCTCTACAGAAAGTTCTGGAAGGAAAACTCCAAGCCAAGGAAGTCAAGTGCACTCAGAACAGCATAGGCAAAAAAGGAAAGAAAAACATAGGCAATAGATGATCTCACTTAACCAAAAGGTAAAAATAGGGAAAAACTCACACACAACACCACCACGGGAAAACAAATCCAAAACAAACAAGAAGTAACAAACAATGGTCATTAATATCCCTCTATATCAATGGTATTAACTCACTTATAAAAAAGACACAGGCTAACAGAATGGATTCGAAGACCAAATCCATCCTTCTGCTGCATACAAGAAACACACCTAACCTTCAAAGATGGACATTACCCCAGAGTCAAGGGTTGGGAAAAGATTTTCCAATCAAATGGCCCTAAGAAGCAAGATGGTGCAGCTATGAGACTTCAAACTAAACTTAATCAAAAGAAATAAAGAATGTCATTTCATATTCATCACAGGAAAAGTCCATCAAGATGAAGTGTCAATTCTGAACATTTATGCACCAAATACAAAGGCACCCACATTCGTAAAGGAAATATTACTAAAACACAAATCACACATTAAACATCACATACTTATAGTGGGAGACTTCAACACCCCACTCTCACCACTAGACAGGACCACTAGACAGAAACTTAACAAAAAAACAAAGGAACTGGGCCGGGCACTGGTGGTGCATGCCTTTAATGCCAGCACTCGGGAGGCAGAGGCAGGCGAATCTCTGTGAGTTCAAGGCCAGCCTGGTCTCCAGAGGGAGTGCCAGGATAGGCTCCAAAGCTACACAGAGAAACCCAGTCTCAAAGAAACAAAAAAAGAAACAAAGGAACTAACAGAAGTTATGATCCAATTGGGATTAACAGATTAACAGACATCTATAGAACATTCCATCCAAACACAAAAAAATGTACCTTCTTCTCACAACTAATACAAAATAATTGGAATAACCCCCTGTATCCTATCAGATCACCATGGTTTAAAATTAGAATTCAACAGCAACACAAATAGCAGAAAACCTACAAACTCATGGAAATTGAACAATGCGAAATTGCACCACTCCTGGGTCAAGGAAGAAATTAAAGACTTCCTAGAATTCAAGGAGCATGAAGACACAACATACCCAAACTTATGGGACACTTTGAAAGCAGTGCTAAGAGGAAAGTTCATAGCACTAGGTGTCCACATGAAGAAACTGGAAAATAGTCCAACACAACTGAAAGCTCTAGAACAATAAGAAGCAAACTCACCCCAAAGTAGTAGATGCCAGGAAATAATCAAATTGAGGGCTAAAATCAATAAAGTAGAAACTAGGAAACATTACAAAGACTCAATGTAACAAAGAGTTGGTTCTTTGAGAAAATCATTAAGATAGACAAACCTTTATCCAAAATAACCAAAAGGCAGAAAGAGAGCATGCTGATTAACAAAATCAGAAATGAAAGGGGGGACATAACAATGGACACTGAGGAAATCCAGAGAATCGTCAGGTCATACTTTGAAAACCTGTATTCCACAAAATTCAAAAATTTAAAGGAAATGGACAATTTCCTGGGTAGATATCACTTACCAAAATTAAATCAAGAACAGATAAGCAATTTAAATAGACCTATAACCCCTACTGAAATAGAAGCAGTCATCAAAAGTCTCCCAACCAAAACCAGCCCAGGGCCAGATGGGTTCAGTACAGAATTCTACCAGAAATTCAAAGAAGAGCTAACACCAGTACTCCTCAAAATGTTCCACACAATAGAAGCAGAGGGGTCGTTGCCAAAATCTTTTTACAAGGCTACAATTACCTTGGTACACAAGACACACAAAGGCCAATATCCGTCATGAATATTGCATAGACATTGATGCAAAAATCCTCAATAAAATACTGGCAAATCGAATCCAGGAACACATCAGAGAAATCATCCACCATAATCAAGTAGGCTTCATCTCAGGGATGCATGGATGGTTCAACATACAAAAATACATCAATGTAATCCACCATATAAACAAATTGAAAAAGAAAAAAACCACATGATCATCTCACTAGATGCTGAAAAATCCTTTGACAAAATCCAGCATCCCTTCATGATAAAGACCTTGGAGAGAACAGGAATAACTGGAACATATCTAAATATGATGAAAGCAATATATAGCAAACCAACAGACAATATCAAACTAAATGGAGAGAAACCCAAAGTGATTCCTCTAAAATCAGGAACAAGATAATGCTGTCCACTCTTTCCATATCTCTTCAATATTGTCATTGAAGTCCTACCTAGAGCAATAAGACAACAAAAGGAGATCAAAGGGATACAAATTGGAAAGGAAGAAGTCAAGCTTTCACTATTTGCAGATGGTATGACAGTCTACATAAGTGACCCGAAAAACTCTACCAGGGAACTCCTACAGCTGATAAACACCTTCAGCAAAGTAGCAGGATACAAAATTAACTCAAAAAAATCAGTAGCCCTACTATATACAGTTGATAAACAGAATGATAAAGAAATCAGAGAAACATCACCTTTCACAATATCCACAAACAACAAAAAATATCTTGGGGTAACGCTAACTAAACAAGTGAAAGACCTGTACAGCAAGAACTTTGAGTCTTTAAAGAAAGAAATTAAAGAAGATACCAGAAAATGGAAAGATCCCCCATGCTCTTGGATAGGTAGAATCAACATAGTAAAAATGGCAATCTTGCCAAAAGCAATCTATAGATTCAATTCAATCACCATCAAAATCCCAACACAGTTCTTCACAGACCTTGAAAGAACAATGCTCAACTTTATATGGAAAACCAAAAAAACCCCAGGATATCCAAAACAACCCTGTACAATAAAGGAATCTCTGGAGGCATCACCATCCCTGACTTCAAGCTCTATTATAGAGCCATAGTCCTGAAAACAGCTTGGTATTGGCACGGAAGTAGACAGATAGACCAATGGAATCGAATTGAATATCCAGATATTAACCCACATACCTAAGAACACCTGATTTTCGACAAAGATGGTAAATCTATACAATGGAAAAAAGATAGCATCTTCAACAAATGGTGCTGGCACAACTGGATATGGACATTCAGAGGACTGCAAATAGATCCATATCTGTCACCATACACAAAACTTAAGTGCAAATAGATCAAAGATTTCAACATAAATCAAGCCACACTGAATCTTCTAGAAGAGAAAGTGGAAGATACCCTTGAACGTATTGGTACAGGAGACAGCTTCCTGAACATAACACCAGTAGCACAGACATTGAGATCTACAATTAATAAATGGGACCTCCAGAAACTGAGAAGCTTCTGTAAGGCAAAGGATATAGTCAGTAAGATAAAACAACAGCCCACAGAATGGGAAAAGATCTTCACCAATCCCACATCTAACAGAGGGCTGATTTGCAAAATATACAAAAAACTCAAGAAGCTAGCCACCAAAACACCAATCAATGAAATTAAAAAGTGGGGCACAGAACTAAATAGAGAATTCTCAACAGAATAATCTAAAATGGCTTAAAGACATTTAAGAAAGTGCTCAAAATCCTTAGCTATCAGAGAAATGAAACTCAAAACAACTCTGAGATCCCATCTTACACCGGCCAGAATGGCTAAAATCAAAAACACCAATGACAATCTATGTTGGAGAGGATGCGGAGAAACAG